TTTTTTATTTTTTTTTTTAGTTGTGTCTTTTGAAGCGAGTGTGCGATATGTACCTATCTTGACGTTAATGTAGTTTTGATCGTTTTTTTTTGCAGATAAACCAAACCCCCGATTTTCTTAGATTCGAAGCTGAAAAATTGCAGGCAATCATAGAAAGCAACAATTTGAATGTGACTTGTGAGGAGGATACTTTTCATGCCATAAAACGCTGGTATGAGTACGATACTTCTGTACGACAACAACAACTACCAGATTTAATTGGTCGCCTACGATTGACCCATTTTGACACTAATTTCTTATTGAGAAATGTCAAAACACTTCCTGGATGCGAGCTATTGGCTTACAAGGCAATATCGTGGATTACGCTACCATCAGATCAGACGAAGATATCGCTCTAATTTACAGCGCCACGAGAAAAAACTATTTGCGAAAATTCGGAAGAGTTAACTTTGATAGCTGTGCAAGCTTATGTAAGTGCAACAAAATGATTTTTGCATTATTGTTTTCCTATATTACGAGTAGATACAATTAAAAGTTGGAATCACGTAGGTAAGTCCAAATCTTTTGTAAACGAGTTTCAAAATAACGGTACAATTCAAAACATATCGAGCCCTAACCGCCAAAATAACGTAAGCGACATTTTTTTCAAAATTTTCTTTTTGATGCAGGAATGCATCTAGACGCTCTAGGAATATTTCTGCATCAATAAGAAAATTTTGAAAAAAATGTCGCTTACGTTACTTTGGCGGTTAGGGCACGATATGCTACTTTCGTAGCTTTTCGGGGTCAGCTTAGCTATGAGGTGCCATATTGAGGATAAAAGGTAACAAAATGTGCCAAAAAAGCTGAGATTCCTATTAACCCTTCCCATTCAAAAGTGCAATGCCAAAATAAGATAAATACATAAGTTGTATAATCTTTAACTTATAAAATAACTTGAATTCAACTTTTTAAACAGGTGGCAGCCCTTTCCCAACACCTCAAAAATATTATTGGCGATGAAACTAAAGATTTTTTAACAATTTCGTTTGATATTTCCATAACTTGTGTATAAGTAAACTAAATTCGACCTTTCGAGCAGGTGGCAACCCTCTTCAAAATATTTTCAAACTATTACTTTCTAAAACCCCTTTCGTTTGGCATCCATATGGTGATACATATTTCTCTTATCTAATATGATTTTTTAAATAGGTGGCAACCCTCCTATAGTTCAGCTAAGAAACAAAGCTTTTCAAAACCATTTCGATTGATACGCAATTTCTAATAGTTAATTTTTTTTTTAATAATTTGAATATAATTTTTTAAAAGGTGGCAACTCTATTCGAAAAAGTTAAGCCTTACTGCGCATCTACAGCCCGAGCCTCACTTTGGAAATTGAACGAACGGTGCGGATTTGCTTATTATGTAATTTTAATTTAATTTATCAGTAGGTGGCAACTCTTTTCGAAAAACTAAAACCAGTTTGCACATCTACAGACCAAGCACTTTAATTTGACATTTCATTTTTGAAAATCGGGCGACCGGTACAGATCTTTTCAGCTGAACAAAAAAATTCTTTATTCCAATTTGAAGAATTTAATGCCATTTAAAAAAAAATAGGGCCAAATCAAATTTTTGATTCCTCTCTCTCTCTCTCTTTACGGGCAACGACAACGTCAACGTCATGCGGTGGTAACACGATCTCTGATTTTACGTCGGTCAGGAGCAGATCCAGAAAAAAATTTCGGGTGTTTATGAAACTTATTATTTTTATTATATTAAGTATATTTATTTTATACATTATTTTTTAATTGGAAATTGTTAGCTCGTCTAGCACTTGTTGGGGATTACCTCCAGATCCCCATGTACATTTAGGAGCGCCAACCCAATCAATCTCCCCTGCCCAATACTACTACGCAAATATGTAGGTCTTCAACCTTCGAAGGGTTGAAAATGACCGCTCGTTCGTTGCAACAGATACTGGCATTGTTGCACCTGGTTTCAAATAAACAAAGATGGTAGGATAAAGACTTTTGTCACCTTGATTCAACAAATAAGTCCCAGGACTTTCTTTTTCGTATGTTAGACCAGTAACTGAAATAAAAACGGTTATTAAACATCAATTTAAAAAAAACACGAAGGTACCCCTGCGTCGCATGTTTGGTTCAGCAATGAAATCGTCTGTCGATGTTTGATTGTTATTAGGCCAAGATGTTGTGAATATTTTTAGTAGTTTTTTGTGATTGACAAATCTCACATTTATTTATTTGATCCAAATAATGATCAAGTATCGGAAAAAAATTTAGCGACGAAAACAAGTTTATGCGCTTCCGTCGTAATTTGCACGATATACTTGACCTCCCACTCGTCGGGGTATTTCTAAGAAAAAACCAATCACTGGAATTTTAAGATTTACCATATTTTACAGTTTCTGCCAGAATGGTTCGGAAAAATATTAAGATTTACGTGAGCTGTACCGATTTGAAAAACCTCCAAAAATCCTATTATTTTGATTCGGTTAACAAAATTTTTAAACATTATAGGCAATAAATTTTCATGGTCATAAGAACCAAAAAACACGTATAATTTTTTTTTAAGTCTATTGAAAGCTGTTTTTATGTTAAAAAAATCAAGAAGTTTACTTTGAAGCTAATTTTCAAGGTTTCAAGGTTTTCAAGGTACAGAGTTTTCCGATCGAAAAATATTGATTTTCAAGAGTTCTATACCATTTCTGCGAAAGTTTTATTTCCCCCATATAAAAATATATGGAAAACTTTGAGCGCTTTGAGCGACCTATAAATATTTTTGATTTCAAAATAAAAAATAGGGGTATAATTTTTTCGACATAGAACAATTCTAGGGGGTGAGAGCATTGCAATTCCGACTGTACTGTTTTTGGACCACCCTAATATACACTCATACATATAAAGTTCGGTTTCGCTCGAACTGATACATTTTTACTTGTTTATATAGATATGTATATATGTGTTTTAACTTCGAAAATATGATCTTATATACATACATATATATTAGAGCGGATAAATTTTTTATTTATTTTTTACTATGTGCGTTTAGCATAGGAGGATTCTACGTTTAATTCTAAGCAACTATGTCGAAGAAAATATGTTTCTAAAATCAATTTGAAGTTTGCCAAATTGCGAAAATAGGTTTCGAAGGAAATGTGAAAATTTTCGCTGTTGAGCGCTCTGGTGGAAGTTTTAAGAAAACGTTAAGCGCAGAAATGGATTCCTCATACCAATAAGCCCCTTATAGCATGTTTATTTACAAACTTTAAGCACTTCTTTACGACACTACAGCAAAATGCTCAGAAACCTATTTGCGCAGTTTGACAAACTCCAAATTTGTTTTTAGACCCATGGTTTCTTCTGCAAATTTGCTTAGAATAATGCGGTGAATCCTTCTGTGCTATACGCGCATAGTCGAAAAACTCGTCCATACAAATTGACCCACCCTAATATATATGTATGTACTAGGGCTGATGATTTCACCCGGGTAATGAGCTACCCGGGTAC